TATTTCTGAGGTTGAAGAGAATAGCACAGAGGGTATGGTTTTGGCTTTGCTTGATGCCAACCCTGGTTTGCATCCTTGACACCATACATGGTCTCCACCAAGCACTGCCAGGGGTCAGAAATGGAGAGATACTAAGGAGGAAAGGCTGATTCAGAAAGATGGAATACAAAAGGAACGTTTTCATCTAGATAATGGTTGAAAAATTCCAACTCCCTGAGCACAGAACCAGGTACAATACTGGGTGTGGCCCCCAAACCAACATCACCCTTCACCATCATCTATAGAATAATGTAGAGACAAGACAAAGGAATAGAAGGTGTTGAACAAAATACATACCCCTGGGGCCTTGAATTTCTTCTTTTTTTTTTTTTCTCTCTTTTTTTTTTTTATTGAATCACTGTGGGAAAGGTTACAAAGCTTTCAGATTTAGGTCTCAGTCATGCAAATATCAAACACATTTCCCTTTACCAATACTTATTTTTTACCATGAAGAACCCCAATAAAACCCCACCCCCCCACCCCTCTCTGTCCCTGTGAGGCAGATGAATTCTAGTTAACACTCTATCTGCTTTGATTAGATTCATTGTTTCAATAAAAGATTCACCACTATTATTTAGAGTTTACCCCCCCCCCCAAATCAGACATGCTGAAAAAGCATTGTGAAGTGATTTGCTTCCTACAGCTGGGTTCAAGAATTAAATGTTGGTTTTGGATTTCTGCTATTTTACCTATTGACCCTGGAAGTATTTCTACTGAAAGTCAGATAGTTAAGAAATTGGTTTCTGTGTTCTGGAGTCGTGGCCGTGCTGGAGAGCCGAGGAGCCTTGAATTTCTAAACTGATTAGTGATCTGTGAGCAGAGTGTGTGTGTGGTGGGGGGGAGTGGGGAGGATGATGATGATGGGATTGGAAGTGCCATAAGGCAGTGGAGAAGTTCATGTGGTACTTTGGGGGTGGTAGGATACAGTGACTTTGTAATACCAAAAACTGTCAACACTGTTAAACCTCATTACCTAACCTACAGTGATAAGTTTAAAAAGAATCTTGTCTGATTTGCCAGTATTTTTAAACCATGTTACCTTGGGCCAGAAGGTATACAGCAGGTATAGTATATAGCAGGTATAGTATACAGCTGTACAGTATACAGCAAGTATAGTGTACCCCTGCCAGACCAGTGCAGACTAGTACACCCTGAGCACAGCTAGACTGAATTCCCTTTACTACCCAACCTAAGGGCTGGAGCGATAGCACAGTGGGTAGGGCGTTTGCCTTGCACGTGGCTAACCCGGGCTAGATTCCTCCGCCCCTCTCGGAGAGCCCAGCAAGCTACCGAGAGTATCTCGCCTGCACGGCAAAGCCTGGCAAGCTCCCCGTGGCATATTCGATATGCCAAAAACAGTAACAAGTCTCACAATGGAGGCGTTACTGGTGCCCACTCGAGCAAATCAATGAACTATGGGAGGACAGTGCTACAGTGCTACCCAACCTAAACTCTGTGGGGTGATGTTGGGGTTGGAACTTTTTTTTTTAACTTTTTTAACTTTTTTAATCACCATGAGATAGACCATTACAAAGCTGTTCATGATTGGATTTCAGTCATACAGTATTCCAGGGAGTTGGAATTTTTCAACCATTATCTAGATGAAAACCTTCCTTTTGTATTCCATCTTTCTGAATCAGCCTTTCCTCCTTAGTATCTCTCCATTTTTGGTTTGGTTTGGGGCCACACCCGCGGAGATAGGGGCTACTCACAGTTCAGTTAACCTAGCAACCAGTCCCAGCAAGTCCCCTCCCCCAATGGCCCAGGGACATGCAGTTCTGACCCTTTGGTGGCCTATGCCTTAACCCTAGTACTGGAGATGAGACCTAGAGGCTTGAGGGAAGTGGCAGGGTGAGATTAGAAAGATAATGGCCTAAACAAAGTCTCTAGATGGGATATTCTGAATGGGAGAATAGGCCCAGGATATGCTGCAGACAGTCCAATGGGCAGGGGTATGCACAGGATAAACTGAGTTCCTGTTCTCTCCCTACACCAGACCCCTCCTTTGTCTCACCACCTTGGGTGCCTTAACCCAGTGCGAAGTGCTCGCCCAGGCCCTAATTAAGACACTTTATAAGGATGAGGGTTCTCTTCCCAGGAACCCCCAGACCCCAGCTTCCCTTCTTTAGCTAGTTTATGTTGAATTTGGTGATGTCGCTTTGTCCTCTGCTTTCTTCTTTTGGTTTCTGGGCCACACCCAGTGGGGCTCGGGGCTTACTCTTGGCTCTGAGTTCAGGGATCACTCCTGGCAGTGCTTAGGGGGCCATACGGGGTGCTAGTGGGTGTGTGTGTGGGGGGAACGACATACTCTTAGCTCTGAGCTCAGGGATGGCTCCTGGCAGGGCTTTGGACCACATGGGGTGTCAGGCTCCAACTCAGTTCAGCCATCACATGTTAAGGCAGTGCAAGTTGAGCCCCTCCCCTCTCCTCGCTTTCGATCCAGTGGATGAGAACCTGAGCGCTTTGGAACGTTCTCTCGGGTTCTCTCAGTTTCTGATCTGGTCAGCTTTCTTTTTCTTTCTTCGTGGACCTTGTTACCTGACACACTTTTCTTCATACTCTGCTGTCTTTCATCGGGATGCTGGCTCTGGACAAGGTCTGACCTCATGGGCTCTTCAGTGAAAGTGGAACAGGTTCAGGGGCTGCATCTTCCTGTGTGCGTGTCCCTTAAACTATGCCGCTGTCACCCCAGCACCCAGCCAGTGTCTCCCTTGATGTAGACCCCAGTACTACTGGGCGCTATGTCACAGGTGCTGGGGTGTCAAGCTCCACTGCACCATGCTGTAAAGGCCACAGGGCCAACTGCACCTTTTGTCTGTGCCCAGGCTCAAGGTGGGTGCCTGGGGCAGGAGGAGGTGACTTTTTTGTTATCTCTAATCTTTTCTTTTTTTGGGGGGGTCCACACCTGGTGGTGCTCAGAGCCACTCCCGAGTCTGCACTCAGTAATCACTCCTGGCAAGCTCAGGGAACCTTATGGGAGATGCTATTGCTTGGTCCCTGGTTAGCTGATCATTGAGCCCGTTGGCAGGCAATAGCTTGGGCTTTATCTGGAGATTATGTCTGAAAGTATGGAGGATTGCAGCAGGGCTGACCACACCTCTGCAAACCTCACTAGACTTTAGGCCCTAGTGAGTCCGGCAATCTGGAATCTGATGAAGTTATTCAGTAGGTGTGATTCAAGTCCCTATCCATGGCCCTAAAGGTGGGGCAGTCAGTAGGGAAAATGGACAGAGACAAGGGCAGAAGGCTGGAGGGCTCAAGGCCTGGGACTTTGTCTGGAGTGATAGTACAGCGGGTAAGGTGCTTGCCTTGCATGCAGCTGACCCGGGTTCAATCCCCAGCACCCCATATGGTCCCTGAGCCTGTCACGATGGATCCCTTAGCTCAGAGACAGACAGAAACCCCATGCACTGGGTGTGGCCCAAAAACCAAAAGTGGGAGGCCCTGGTTTGATTCCCAGCCCTGCATGGTCCCTGGAGCACCGCTGGGAGCAAACCCTGAGCAGGAAGCCAGGAGTAGCCTCCAAAGCTGAAGCGTGGATGCAGCAGTGCTTGGGCTTCTGGGAAGTAGCAGCCCCACGTGTGAGTCCTGCACCATGTGCTGGCACTTCAAGGAATGCACCCCCAGCCGGGCAGGTGGGAGCGTGGGCTCGATGGGCCTGGGGCCCAACGCCGCGGGGTGCTGACTTGGGAACCCCGCACAGAGGTGCAGGGGTGTTCATCCCCCCTACCAGGTTGAGTCACCAGCTGCTCTCAGCCAACAGCTGGGCCGTGGCTCCGCCCTTCACTTGCCCAGGCCTGAAGGCCCAGGCTGTGCACCTAAGGGGATGCTGGCTCCAGGCAGCCAGGAGCCTGATGCAGTCTCCTGCTCCCCAAGGTTAGCTTCCCGTAACTGAGGCCCAGGCCCACTGGGGTTCTTCCCCAGGAATGATGATTCACCCTGGCCGGTGGCCTTTTCACTTCTCTTTTGGGGCTAAAAATACAGGGACCCAGGCACCCGGCTGGGCCTGGCTTCACCCACTGATTACACAATGCCCCAAGTCTGAAAGCTGCTGACGCAGGCGCAGGGCATGAAGGGGGCCTGGCTTGTTCCCTACCAGGGTGCTGAGGTCAGGGCCTTGGTCCCCTGCACTTCCCCTTTCCTGGGTCAAGGGAGACAAGGAGTTTGCAGAAGATCCTGGGGTTTAGCAGAGCCTTCTGAAAAATAGAGCTCCTTCCCCTAGTTGCAGGCAAGTCAGGGTTTTTGGTTCCCAGAACCCGCTCCTTCACATACAAAATGTCCTAGTGAGGACATGCGTGCGGAAGGCAGCAAGAGGCTGGAACGTGTGCCTGGCATGCACAAAGCTGAGTTAGATCCTTACCATTGCCTCCCTCCCGTCCCTCTCACCCCCCCTCCCCGACCCAGCACCACCTCACTGGAGTTCCCCTAGCACTTCAGGGCCAGGCGGTGAACCATCAGGCCCACACAGCTGGGCCAACTACCCTGGGAGTGCCCTCAGCACCCCCTAAGCACAGCTCGGGGCACTCCCCAAGAAGAGAAATATTACTGGCAGAGATGACCCAAGAGAGGGCATACAGGTGCGGGTGTGTGTGTGTGTGTGTGTGTGTGTGTGTGAGAGAGAGAGACAGGGCCAGAAAGAAAGCTGATGGGCAACAGCAGTGAGCAAGTGCCAGAGAGGGGCTTGAGAAGCAGTCAACCCCACTCCCCTCAAAAAAAAAACAAAAACTAAAAAACAACTAGGCAGAATCTGAAAAGGACTGGGGGAAGGGCCCTAGTGGTGTCCACACCCAGGTCAGGTGGGGGAAAACCCTGGAACAGAGGTCAACAACAGTCAAGGTTCAAGGTCCACCCAAGGCAGCCAAGTGGGGAGCAGCAGGGCGGGGCCACACCCTGGAATTCCCTGCGGGCCTCTGCTGCCCCCTGGTGGAGCTGGCCATAGCACGCAGACAGGAGGCCAAGCAAAGTTTTGAGGTCCTTTATTCCCCTCTCTTCGCCAGCCCACACCCCACCCAGTCCCGTCCCTCACAGGGTGCCCCCAGGGCCGCTTGGTGGCACAGGAGTCTTGCCCGTGACCTTGTTGGCACACTCCAGCAGGGCCGTGTGAATGTCCTTGGCGCAGGCGATCTGGGTTTTGATGACCGCCAGATACTGTGGGTAGGGTAGGCTGTCCGGTTGTACTGCGTCGGGTTTGGTGGCAGTGGGCACCAGCGTTGGGGAGTGCTTGGCACTGTCGCAGCTCTGTGACAGGCACTCGTGTGCCAGGCGCTGTGGGGAGATGGGTAAAGTATGTGCTCCTTCAGCCTCGCTGGTGCGCTACCTTCTATCGCCGCCTGAGGTCAGTGAAGGCAGCTGCTTAGGCCCTGAGAAATGCGCGCGCGCATGTGTTTCGAGGCTAGCCTCCTGGATGTGTGTGCCTGTCTGCCTGCCATGTGGTGGGAGCCTGGCCTGGTGCCCGCCAGTAGCAGGGCGCCTCAAGTACTGCTTGTTCCATCCCAGACCTGTCTCCTCCTTAGAAAACTGGGCCTGGAGGTACGGACCGCGTTTGCTCTCATTCTGTGGACGCTTATCACTTCAGCTAACTGAGCAATGTCACTACTATTATTACTTTGGGGGCACTCAGGAGGTCTGGGGTCCCCCACAAGTGATTCTCACCAACTGGGCCCATCAGTCCAGCACAAGGGCCCGACGAGGCACTGAAGCTCAGGCCTGGTGGTGCCAGGGACGCCTAGGCCCCCCCAGTGGTGCTTACACCCAGCAATGCTCAGGGGATCCTGAAGTGCCAAGTATGGAACACAAGTTCGATTCCTGGCGTGGGCCCCAACAGCAGTACCATCTCTCACCCTTCTGGCAATGACTTTTGAAGTGCCAGGTGTGCACGCACGGTACTTTACCCAAGTCACATCCTCCACTTCACTCATCAGGGTCATCATCCCAGACTACAAGTACTCCTCCCTTGTTTTTTCTCTGATAGCAATTTCTAGGCCTTTCTTTGGGAGGTGGGTGGACACTGAGTCCAGGGCTTCCAGCTCCAGGGCCTGCACCTAGGTGCTCTGGCTCTGCCCAGGCCTTGGTTGTACCCATTTCCGAGACTGGCTCCTTCCTCTCGGGCTTCATTCTGAGGTCCTGGGGCTGTACCCCCCACACAGTTCAGTTCTCCCCTCTGAATTAAGGATACCACATCTGCATCCCCAGGCTCCCCTGAAGTTCTGAAGCTCTCATCCACCCCTCACCTCAGGGAGCTCCACCCCCACACGCCCATCAGTGCCCCGGGTGCACACAGCCTCCTAGGACTCTGTCTATTCCAAACCATCCTCGGGGAAGCTTAGCCTATCTTGATCACCAGCCCCCTAGCTCTGAGCCCTGAATGTTGGGCCAAAGAGTATTACTGGGAGAGGTCCTTAGGCCTTCTGAGCACTGCTTGGGAGACTAAAATCCAAAATTCTCCCCTGTGAAAAAGTGCTGCAAGACTCTTTTTCAGATCTGAGTCACACCCTGGCCAGACTTTTATACTGTTCCCAAAGGAACAAAAAACAGTCATAAAGGGGGGCTGGAGCGATAGTACAGTGGGTAGGACGTTTGCTTTGCACGCGGCCAACCCAGGTTCGATTCGCAGCATCCCATATGGTTCCCTGAGCACCGCAGGAGTAATTATTGAGTGCAAAAGCCAGAAGTAACCTCTGTGCATCACCGGGTGTGACCCAGAAGGAAAAAAAAAAGATAAAAAAAAAAAAAACAGTCATAAAGGACCAGGGAAAATACAGAAGGGAAGGTGCAATCATGGGTACTGCATAGTTCCCCCAAGAACCGCCAGGGGTCACTCCTGGCACAGAACCAGGAATAACCTTTGAACTATGTGGTCCCAATCTCCACCCTCCAAAATAAAGGGATATTTTTAAATTGTTCCTTCTGAAATACTTTTTTATTATTATTATTTTTTTGCTTTTTGGGTCACACCTGGCAATGCACAGGGGTTACTCCTGGCGGTGCTCGGGGGTCCATATGGGATGCTGGGAATTGAACCCGGGTCGGCCATGTTGGCTGCATGCAAGGCAAATGCCCTACCCTCTGTGCTATTGCTCCAGCCCCCTAAAAAGCATACTTCTTTATTATTATTATTATTTTTTGCTTTTTGAGTCACACCTGGCGATGCACAGGGGTTATTCCTGGCTCTGCACTCAGGAGTTACTCCTGGCAGTGCTCAGAGGACCATATGGGATGCTGGGAATCGAACTCAGTTCAGCCGCGTGCAAGGCAAACGCCTTACCCGCTGTGCTATCTCTCCAGCTCCTCTTTATTATTTTTTAAAAATCTTATTTGTTTTGGGCCCACACCTGGCTGTGCTAAGTGCTTATTCCTGGCTCTGCACTCAGGGATCACTTCTGATGGAGTTTGGGGGACCAAATGAGAGTGCTAGGGAATGAACTAAGGCCGGCCACGTGTAAGAGCTTCACCTGTCTTACTATTTCTTCAGTCCTGGAATCTTTAAAACTTTAATTTTCCAGTTCCAGGAGTCGAATCAAGGCTGGCCGACCACAAGACAAACTCCTTACCTGCTGTAGTATCTCTCTAGCCCCGAAACACTATTTTGACCTATAACTGAGCTTTCTGTTGTTTATTTTTTTCCTTTTTGGCTTTTTGAGTCACACCCATAAATGCACAGGGGTTACTCCTGGTGGTGCTTGGGGGACCATATGGGATGCTGAGGATCGAACCCAGGTCAGCCGTTTACAAGGCAAACTGCCTTACCCGCTGTACTACTGTTCCAGGCCCACTACTGCGTTCTTGTACTCAGTTCCTGTGCTATCTCTCTGGCCCATAATGACATTACAGGAAATATATGTCATGTCTGTAGTTTACATCACTGGTTTTTGTTTTGGGGTTGTACCCAGTGGTACTCAGCATCAGGGGATTATATGTGCTGCCAGGGATGGAACGATGTAAGTTCTGTCCTATTTTGTCCTGTCTCTTGGGCGAAGTGTCAGTGGTCTAACCATGCATCAACCATTCACACCTGCACAGCTCCATGCACTAGTACCTGGAAACCACTGGTTTACTTGTTTACATTTAGGATTTTTATTTTTTGGGGGGAGACCACACCCAGTGATGCTCAAGGGACCTTAAGTGGTACCAAGGATTGAACTTGGGTTTGCTGCCTGCAAGGCAAGCTCCCTACCTGCTGTACTGTGGCTCTGGCCTACACGTCAATCTTGCAGCCTCTATGCAGAAACCCCGTTTTCCAAAAAAGAGATGCAGAGTTGACAGCAGGGGCTGGTGGTGTAGGTCGCCTCAGTTGCTGTGCCCTTAGTACTGCCCTCTTCCATTTCCCACGCAGGCCTAGCTCAAATGTGCTCACCACTAATGGTCTTCCTGAGTCCTCACCCACCAACCCCACTTTCCGCAGGATCAGGTGCTCTCATGGGGTTTCCTGGGAGTCAATCCTGACTTTGCAGCCTGTGTTTGCCCCAGGCAACGGTAGAATACATCTACCGTGAACAGATGTATTTGTCTCATTCTAGCAAACTGGAAGGTCAGCAAGGACCGGAGGATCAGAGTCTTCGACCATCCGGTGAAACACAGATCTATTTTGTTTATTGGGGATGGGGGGGGGGGGTCACATCCAGTGGTGCGGGGTGTGGGTACTCCCTGTTCGGGGGACCATGTGGAGGAACCCAGGCCTCCCACATGCAAGGCCTGCTGACTTCGCCTTTGAGCCTTATCCCCCAACCCAGGGAAACACGGGTGTAGCCTGCAGGAGTGTCTGACTGGTGTGTGGAGAGACTGAATGAGGTGCTGGAAGACCCCGGTGACTATGGCAGGCATGTAACCACACACCCCTCTGAATGTCTAACAAGGCTCTTACCAGGCAGAGTTCCATCTGGTCACAGAGTGCGTAAAACTCCTCCAGACACTTGTCAAAGCGCTGGATGGGTCCATCACTGCTCTTTCTAAATGCCGGGAGAAGAAGGTGACTGGGGATGGATCTCCCACCTCTGGGACATCAGTGTTTATCTAACCAAGAACCTGTCAGGAACCAGGCAAGGGCTTAGCAGGCAGGGTCTGAGTGTGGTTAGGGAGCTAAGAGGCAAGGTAGGAAAAGACTGGGCGTGAGGTGACAAGTTTGAAAATCAAGGAAAACTGGGAGGGAGGGTAAGGGAGGCGACAGGTTTCTGAGTGGGGTGGACAGGATGATATTTGAAGCACTACACTTACTGTCCATTGTCAATGTTAGTGTTCTGAATCAAGTTCTGGGCAGCAACCTTCATTAAGGTCTAGTGAAAAAGAAAAAAGTGATGAGAAAGGGAAGTGGGGAGACTTTTGGTAAACCTGTATGCTTAAAATCCACCCAATCGGAAGAAACCCTGTCTTCACCTCACGTTCCTTCTCCTGTCACTCCAGAAGTGACAGTCACCTACAGCAATAACCTATATTTCCCCCAGAGGCTTGCTCTCCCAATGGCTTCTAACGGTTATAACTTTATGAACATTCCTTAGGGTCCTCCCTCACGCACTAAATCACGACCAGATCTCTACAAAGTGCCTCTTTTCAGGCTACAACGACGAGGGCTTGGTTTTTCCCTCGAACTCTCGCACCCACAGCTCCGCTCAACTCCATCAGCACTGATCCCTCCTCGCACGGCCAACCCTGGGGCTTCGCTTCCGCCTCAAGAAAGAGGCCCGTAACCCCTTCGTCTTCTCTAGCTCCCTGACCCCTCTTACTCTCTCCCTGGCTAGACAAGACCGTCACCCGCGCTGGCGTCAGAAGCCAGATCCTGCTCGCTCGCCTTCGAATTACCTGTAGGCTCTCCTTCAGCTGCGGGATGAGCATCTTATAGCGCTGCACAGGATCGAAGTCCTGTTGCTGTTGTTGTAAGAGTCCGCTCTGGGCAGGCCCCACCAGTTGTGTCGGCGGTTGCGGTTGCTGCTGGGTACTCGGACCCCCAGCCGAGCCCGGACCCGACATGCCAGCAGCAGCGGCGCTGGTTGAAGGCTGTGGCTGGGATGCAGCCATCTTCTCCACTTCGCGCACCGGAAGCACGTCACGCCAGTGTCTTAGCAGACTTCAGCTTCTTCAGTTTTAGGCCCGGTTTACAGGTTAGCCCCGCCTCCCGTCGCATTCCACCAATGGAAGGGAAGAAGGCCCTCGTGATTCGCGCTCCGCCATGAGACCGATCCACCAATCACAAAGTAGTTTTTCCCTCTTGCCCCGCCCTTTACCAGCCGCCCACCAATCCAGGGGCAGCCTCTATTCGGACTATATTTCCCCGAAGCCCTCGCGGCGTGAGGCGGCTCGTCCGCGTCCTCCGCTGCTTCGCGGCAGTCGGTGCCGCCTGAGGGTTTACCGGAGTGTCTCTCTCAGAGCTCTTCTCGGTAACCCACTTCATCCTGCCCTTATCTCCGCGGAAAGGGCCCCGAACCGTGCCTCGGAGCGAGCGTCCACCGGAGTTGGCACGCCCCTCCGCACCCCGCTGAGGCTCGGCGAGGACCCGGCCGGAGCTGCCGTCGCCTCGTCGCCATGGCGCCCACCATCCAGACTCAGGCCCAGCGGGAGGATGGCCACAGGTAGGCGCCACGCCGCGTGACCGCCTTGCCCTCATGGAGCTTTGCCCAGGTATAGGCGAGGCGGGGGGTTGGACGCGGGTGTCTGCTTACGACGTCATCAGCGACCCCCCCCCGCCAGTTCATGACGTCAAGCCCTAACGCCGTAACATCTGAGCAAAGGGGCAGGTTCAGGACGAAGCCCTTTGGCAACTCTTTGGAAGGTATTGCATGTTGATCCCTCCACACACGTATTTTTCGGGACCCTTTCCAAAAAGCCCAGCGAGGTGGAGGATTTGATAAAAGCACCTGAAACTGTCCCCCCGCTCCAGCTTTTTTTTTTTTAAGCGATTGAGCGTTTGGCTTGCTTCATTAACGCGGTTTGGAAAACTTCCTCCAAGAGGAACTCTCCGTTTCCCCCAAAGCACTCGGCGCACCCCGACAGAGGGGGATTAACTTGTCACCGGCTCCCTTTTTAAGGCTCTGGAGAGGTCATGCTCTCTCTCTTTCCTCCCCGCAGGCCCAATTCCCACCGCACTCTGCCTGAGAGGTGAGTGAGCCCCAAGCGCATGGGTCTTGGAGGGGTGCTGGGAGAGGTTGCAGCAGGGCCGGGTTTTGAGCCTCTGTTCCCAGGTCTGGAGTGGTCTGCCGAGTCAAGTACTGCAACAGCCTCCCTGACATCCCCTTTGATCCCAAGTTCATCACCTACCCCTTCGACCAGAACAGGTGAGCCAGAGATCCCTGATGAGGGGCAGGGCATAAACAACAGCCAACAACTGCCTTGGGGAATGTGCAGGCCCTGAGGTCAAGTACTTACTGGCTGAGTGCTCTGGAGGGTCTAGGACTGACCCTCACACACAGTGGGTGTCTAACACGGTGTTCATGAGTGTTCTGTGTTCACGACACTTGGTGAGTGTTCCCGTCCCTTTCCACCTGAGTGTGGCTCCAGCCTGGGGACAGTATTGTGTTCTCATGGAGTTTAAGTGGTGGGGACTCAAGGAACCCGAGGGGTGAAACCCTAGTGGCTGCCTCTCCACTCAGGTTTGTCCAGTACAAAGCAACGTCTCTGGAGAAGCAGCACAAACATGATCTTCTGACTGAGCCAGACCTGGGGGTCACCATCGACCTCATCAACCCTGATACCTATCGCATCGACCCCAATGGTGCGTGGGGAGGCGGGGAGGTCAGGTCAGGTCTGACATGCCACATGTCAGGCCAGGTCTCCTTCATGGACTTTGTGTCCCCACTGCTCTCCTCTAGTACTCCTAGATCCAGCTGACGAGAAGCTTCTGGAAGAGGAGATTCAGGCCCCTACCAGCTCTAAGAGGTGAGGGGATGCCAAGTGAGGATTTGATCAGATCGCTCTCAAAGCAGGGGAGTGGTGGGGTCCTGAGGTGCCTGATCCTTCTGGCTAGATCCCAGCAGCACGCGAAAGTGGTTCCATGGATGCGAAAGACAGAATACATCTCCACTGAGTTCAATCGTTACGGCATTTCCAATGAGAAGCCTGAGGTCAAGTAAGTTGTAGCAGGAGGAGGGAAGGAAGGTGACTGCAGGTGTATCCACTGGTCCCTAAAAGCTTTTCTTTTCCCTCCTAGGATTGGGGTTTCTGTGAAGCAGCAGTTCACGGAGGAAGAAATCTACAAAGACCGGGATAGCCAGATTACGGCAATCGAGAAGACTTTTGAGGATGCCCAGAAATCAGTAATGAGGGCTTTGCTTGGGAGCAGGCAGAAGTGTGGCTCAGAGCTTTATGTCCTGCCCCTCATCCTATTTTTGTTCCCTCCAGATATCCCAGCATTATAGCAAGCCCCGCGTAACACCTGTGGAAGTCATGCCTGTCTTCCCAGACTTTAAGGTCAGGGCCCAGGGCAGGAGGTGCAGGGAGATCACTTAGAGTCTCTGCCAGTTTCAGTCTAACCTGTGCCGTGTATCCTCCCACCCCCCGCAGATGTGGATTAACCCATGTGCTCAAGTCATCTTTGACTCAGACCCAGCCCCTAAGGACACAAGTGGAGCTGCTGCACTGGAAATGATGTCTCAGGCCATGATCAGGTAAGTGGCTGTATTGGTCCATCCTGCCCACTTGCTCATGGGCCCTTTGTCTTCACCACACCTCCCTTCACCATCCAGGGGCATGATGGATGAGGAGGGCAATCAGTTTGTGGCCTACTTCCTGCCGGTGGATGAGACACTGAAGAAGCGAAAGCGGGACCAAGAGGAAGAGATGGACTATGCCCCAGATGATGTGTGCGTGTGGGGTGTTTTTGTTCTGGGGGATTGGGAAGTCTTCTTCCTCATGGAGAGAAGTGAGGCTAATCCTATTACACTCCTCATTCTCAGGTATGACTACAAGATTGCTCGGGAGTACAACTGGAATGTGAAGAACAAAGCTAGCAAGGGCTATGAGGAAAACTACTTCTTCATCTTCCGAGAGGGCGATGGGGTTTACTACAACGAGCTGGAGACCAGGTGCTCAGTGCGCGCCAATCTGAGAGTAGTTTGGGCCATAGCCTCAGGATCCAGACCCTATTTGAGAGCCAACTTGGAGGTTATTTATGCTTAAGGTGATCACTGTCACATGCGTTTCTAAGCAAGAACAGTGTAAACTTGCTTCTGCACCTAGTTTTTTTTTTTTTTTTTTTGCTTTTTGGGTCACACCTGGTGATGCACAGGGGTTACTCCTAGCTCTGCACTCAAGAGTTACTCCTGGTGGTGCTCAGGGGACCATATGGGATGCTGGGAATCGAACCTGGGTCAGCCACGTGCAAGGCAAACGCCTTACCCGCTGTGCTATCTCTCCAGTCCCTGGACCTAGTTTCAATACAAAAATCCACAAAGAAAATCCTTGTTGCTAGAGAACATTTTTGGGGAGTTTTTTTTTGGGTCACAGCCAGCATTGCTGGATACAATGTGAACCAGGGTGCCAGGGATCAAGTGGTACTTACTCTGATCCTACAAAACACTTTTTTAGGTACAGTTTTTCCCATTATTAAAAGACTTCACTGAGGTGTGGAGAGCAGAATGTAAATTTAAAAAAAAAAAACATCTTTTTCAGTGAGCGTCTAGGTGCCCAGTTTAAAAAAATGTGAGCCTCCTGGGGCTGGAGAGTGGAGAGTAGAAACCCTGGCCTTATGTCCCAATGACTGACTCTAGGTCAAGCCTCCCACACCATGTGTTCTTTTGGGCACTGCCAGGAATATCTGCACCCACCTCCAAAAGAAGGGGGAAATGTGACCCTGTAAATGTGACTGCTTAATCTCATGATAGATACAAGTTTACTGCTCTCTTGGCCTTTTGCTGTTAAGGGTTGCAAAGTGACCCTGAGATTTTTTTTTTTTTTTTTTGGGTGAGGCCTGGCAATGCACAGGGGTACTCCTGGCTCTGCACTCAGGAATTACTCCTGGCAGTGCTCAGGGGACCATATGGGATGCTGGGAATCAAATCTGGGTTGGCCGCGTGCAAGGCAAATGCCCTACCCGCTGTGCTATCATTCAGCCCGACCCTGAGGTTTTTTTAAAGCAGAACTCACAAATTGGCCTAAGTCAAGCAGGAAATGTAAAAGGTGGTCCAGTGGGCTATTGTTTTTAAGCCAGTGTTTCTGGACCTTTTTCCAACCATGGTCCCCTTCTGACCTTGTTTTTCCTTTTTGCATTCCCATCCTCCTGCCCCAGTCCTACTAGTTGGACCCTTCGCCTTTTTTCTGAGCCCCGCACCATGTATGTGATTTTCACGTGTGGCCCTAGGTTGAGAACTGCCTAGTGGGTCAAAGTCTAGTTCTTCAATATGTAGAAACCCAGAAATACATGTTTTGTGGGTTTTGTTTGGGGGCTTAAAGGACACTGCAGTGCCAGAGCTCCTGTGTGGCCCTCCCACTTAACAAAGACGTGCACCCACCTTCTGGGCCATCTCCCTGCTCTATTTTTTTTTTTTTTTTTGCTTTCTGCTCATATCTGGCAATGCACAGGGCTTACTCTTGGCTCCATTCAGGAATTAATCCTGGCATTGCTCAGGGGACCATATGGGATCCTGGGGATCAAAACTGGGTTGGCTGCGTGAAAGGCAAATGCCCTACCCACTGTGCTATCGCTCTAGCCTCTCAGTGGTGTTCTTAAGTAATGGTGACCAGCTCACGTTAAAATACACATTCTCCATATGTGTGTACGTGACAGAGATAAGCTATATGAAGTGTGGGACAGCTAAGCAACTCTTATTTGGGGGCCATACCTGGCTGTATTCGAGGCTCTGTGTTCAAGGATCACTCCTTGGGGTGAGCATATGCCATGCTGAGGGAACTTGAGTTAGCTGTGTGTAGAGCAAGGCACTTATTAGGTATGTGTCCCCTACTCCTGCCCCAGTTCTTAAAAGTTGTGCCAACACTACCTCTGCAATGCCCCCAGTGTTGTAGTCACCCTCATTTACTTGACAACCTAGTTGGTTCCAGCGTAAACACGGATGTAGGGAAAAACAGACCAAGTCAGACCAGTTCATCCCACTGGACATCTTTAACTGTATTCCCACTCCCACCACAGGGTCCGCCTGAGTAAGCGCCGGGCCAAGGCTGGAGTTCAGTCGGGTACGAATGCTCTGCTTGTGGTCAAACATCGGGATATGAATGAGAAAGAACTGGAAGCCCAGGTAACTAGCAGTATTGGCTAGCATGGAGGGTGGTCTGTGAGGGGGGAGGGAAATCGCCAACTCCTGTCCCCCTACTCTGCTCTCAGGAGGCACGGAAGGCCCAGCTAGAGAACCACGAGCCAGAGGAAGAAGAGGAAGAGGAGATGGAGACAGAGGAGAAAGAAGCTGGGGGCTCAGGTAACAAGGGCAGGTGGCCACACCCTGGAGTGGGGAGGCTGGGCAGGCAGACAGGAACTGAGTTTCACGTCTCGGCTTCTGCACAGATGAAGAACGAGAGAAGAGCAGCAGTGAGAAGGAGGCCAGTGAGGACGAGCGCTCAGAGCACTCTGGCAGTGAGAGTGAGCGTGAGGAAGGTGACAGGGAAGAGGCAAGCGACAAGAGCGTGAGTGGCGAGGAGGAAAGCAGTGAGGATGAGGCGCGAGCCGCCCGGGACAAGGAGGAAATCTTCGGCAGCGATGCAGATTCGGAGGAGGATGCGGACTCGGATGAGGAGGACAGAGGACAGGCCCGTGGCAGCGACAATGATTCTGATAGTGGCAGTGATGGGGGTGGCCAGCGCAGCCGCAGTGCCAGCCCTTTCCCCAGTGGCAGCGAGCACTCGGCCCAGGATGGCAGCGAGGCGGCAGCGTCCGAGTCCAGCGAGGCTGACAGTGACAGTGACTGAGTCCCAGGCTGTAGGCTGGCACCCATGCAGGAAGGCACTTTGCCAGTTACTTGCTTGCCAGCCCTCGGTGGCATCTGTTTCCCTCCCCTGAGCCTTTGTTAATAAACTACACTTTCCCTCCTGACCCCCAGTGCTCATTCCAGGGGCCATTAGCCTGGAACCCCTTCCCCATATCCCACCCCCAAGCCACCGCAGGTGGCCTAGGCTCAAGACGAACCGCAAGACAACAGACGCAAGGTCAGCAGGTTTTCCATGAAATGCAGCATAACAAAGGTCAGAATTGGTTTTTTTTTTTTTTTTCCAAAATAAGCCCAGACCATTAAACAGTGAAACTCCAACAAATAAGTCTTCTCCAACAGCGAGAAAAACTGTACAGTTACTCAAAGCTGATTCTGCCAGTGGGGCTGGGGCCAGAGGGATAGGCGAGACCATGGCGAGAGGCCAGGGGCTGGAGAGGGAGAAGGTGGGAGTCCTGCCCATCAGAGTGGGGCCGCCTGCGTCCTGCACACTCTGCTGTCAGGGGGTGGGGGTGGCCCTGGCCTCCCGCTGTATGGCGGGTGCCCCTCACCACCTCCGGCGCCAGGCCACAGCCACTGATGGGGAGTGAAGATGGGGCTGGCTGGGAGGTGGTGAGGGTCCCCAAGACGGGACACCCTGCTGATTCCAAAGGAGGTGGCCCCTGTCCGTCCCACTTCCTGGGGGCTGAGGGGAATGAGCAAAGGCACAGAAACATGGGGGCCGGGGCGGGGGACTTGCATAGGTTGATGAGTGTGCAAGAGGTACATAAATAAACCTGACACCCCACCCAGCCCGGCACTGGGGGAGGAGGGGACCTAGAGCGTGCCCCCGGCCCCCCCATCCCCTGGTTGCCTCCCCTCCCTGGGCTGAGAGCTGAGGGAGGTCCAGACCAGGAGAGCAGAGGCAAGATGGTCTGGGAAATGGGCGGAGTGCGGGGAGGGCGGTGGTTTTCAATTTTTTTTTTTGGTTTTTTGTTTTTTCCCAACATTTTGTATCTTTAATAACATACACAATGGTTACCAGCCATATTCATAACAAAAGTTATTCATAAAATGTATCTAAAAATAACATTTTTTTCCTTTTCGGTGTGAAAAGCTTGAGAATGTCCCAGTGAGGTGGAGGGGGAAGAGGGGTTGGAATAAGGAACCCTGGCTCCCCCACCACGGCCTGAACCCCCAGGGCCTCTCCACTACTTGGACCCAGCACAAGCCCTCTAGGGTCACGGGGACCAGCAGGGTTTGACTCTGGGCTGGGATGAGTCTCTGGGTTATGCTATAGTGTTCAACTTAGTGAGGTCGTGACAGCATGGGGTAGAAGGGGAGGCTGAAAGAAAAGGGGAGGAAACCCCAAAACCAAACAATCCCCTTTCCCTTATTCCTAACCCCCAAGCCTTGGCAAGCAGACCTGGGGGTGGAGAAGGGTGTGTTGGTGGGGGGAAGGGGACGTTAAGGCAACAGACTTGACCTCACGGGCTGCCCTGACTCCCCACCTTTAACCTCTGCATCAGGGGAGCCAGGGCTGGGGGAGAAGGGAAGGGCTAGGGTTTAGGGAAGGGGGCTCTGCCCACTCCCCTTGGAAAAGTCAGGCTCCCCCAGCCACTTGGTCGGCTCAGAGAGAGGCCTGGGGATTCTAAAAATGAGAGGGAATGATCAAGAGAAAAACCGTTAAGAACTATATAAATATGTATCTTAAATAGGCCTAAGAAATTAATTGTAGAGAGCCTCTGATAACAGGGCGAGGGGAGGGCTGGGCAGGGGCTCCTGTCCTGGGGAATGACGGGGAGGGCAGGTGGCCGCACGCTTCCTCCCTCGGACACTCGGCAGAGCAGAGCAAATCCCGAGTTGGCGCTACCAACATCAGAAGGTTGGGAGCAGACCCCATGAGACAGAGTCCCCGAGTCTCGGGGGAGGCTGCGCCCTAGGGAGGGACAGGTGGCCAGGCAGGCTCAAGGGCCGTAGAGGGGCAGGTAGGGGATGGGGATGGGAAGGAGAGGGGCAGGCCGTCTGGCCGCTTCCTGCCCCCTTTGTCCTGGTTGCCCCCTACTGCCCTGGGCCTCAGCAGCCCCCTCGACGGGCCAGGGAGTGAGCAAGGCATGTGCCAATGTTAAACAAAAGTTAAGAGGGTGAGAGAGTAGAAAAATATTAGAATGTATAGCTGAGCCAGCCCACCCTCTCACTGTCGCGGAGAAGCCCGTTGGGGGTTTGTCCCAGCCCGCCGCCCAGGGAGCCTATGGGTGCGCTGGGCTGTGGGTCCCGTCAGATGGTGGAGGTTTTGTCTGTCCCATCTGTGGTGAGAAAGGAAGGGAGCAAGATCAGGAGCTGATGGGCAGCCCGAGAGAAGGCGCTTAGTAGCCTGTCATCCCAGCCAGGCCCTCCCTGGAGGCCGGCCTCCCCTGGGGACCCCTTAGGAGGACCCGGGAGTTGCTTGGTTCCAAGGTGGAGATGCTGCTGGGTCAGGGAAAGAGGAAATGCTCACCCCCCAAGGCGTGTTCTGTCATGCTCAGACACAGAGATTCCAGAGTGGGGTTGATCTCCAGGTCAGGCCCAGGGACCGGGCAGTCTGGGTGAGAGAGAGGAAGGCCGTGAGGACAGGGCTGGGGCGGAGCGCAGAGCTGGAAGGGCTGCGTGGGGGAGACGGAAGCGCAGGGTGAGAGCAGCAGAGCACAGGAGGGTGTGCGGGAGAGAAACAGGCGGACTTGGCAGGCAGAGAAAGCCGAGAGGCACAGAGGAAGTGGGGGAGCAGCGGAGGGAGCGAGCATCCTGGAGGCCACACAGGCTGCGACTATTTGGGACGCACACTGCACGTTGCCTTGGGCACAGTCTGGGCATCTGCCTGGGCACTGGGCAGCCCTGTGCTCCTTGACTGGTGGTCCACTTTGTAGCTGGAGCAGAAGCTAATGAGAACCTCCTGAACAGGAAGGCCTGAACTTGCTGCTGGGGGCAGGATGTGATCCGACAGGCCTCAAGAGCGGAAAGCTAGGACAACAGCCATGGGACTTGTCCTCAGACCTCCTTTCCCGAGGCCTCCTGGATGGCCTCTGGAAAGCAGCCTCCCTTCCTGACTAATCTGATGCCTCTTCCCAGCACCTTTCTCATGGTCCTGGGTCTAGGAGATGCTGCTCCCACTTCCACTCTAGACAATGAGCTCAAACCTCATCACTTAACAAAACTTGTCTTTGAACTTGCTCTGAGTCTGCCTTGACCTGAGTCTGCCTCTTGACAAATGAGGCGAGACCCACACCAGTTCCTCATGTACGTATGGAAGGAGCTGGTTTAAATGCACTGCCAGGAAAGCTGTATGACAGTTCAGCTCACAGCAGACTGGCGCAAAAAACTCTAATCTTCTGTTCCTGTACACCCAATTCCTACCACGTGCTAAGGCCTATGTAAGGATGCACGTGAGCTCTGGGCTCCCCGCCTGTGATAGGTGCAGCCCTAATAAGCTCATAAACAATGGCTCCCTGGGCCAAGGATGTGGTTTTGGACATAGGTACAGGCCTCACATGTATGAGGTGCTAGGATCCATCCCTGGCACCACAAAAACACATCAGACAAAAATCCCTGGCCAGGGAGATGGATCAAAGGCTTGGAGTGCACGCTTTGCATGCCTGGGTTTGGTCCCTGACAAAGTGTTCTCCAGGGCATCACCAAGAACACCTGAGCACTGCCAGAGGTGAGAATGAAAAAGAATCATCACCAATCTGACTCAAAACCTCAAGGTCAAATCCGAGTTCCTTCCAGATCCCCTACTCCAAATCTAATCCATCCCGGTGGTCTCATGAGCAGGGGCATGGGGTCCAAGAACTGCACCCCTGCTTGCTGAGAAGGCGGGCCAGTGCCCCTCTCTCTGCCCCTGGCCCACCCTGCCCAGTCTTTATCTCTGGGCAGACCTGTGAGCAAAGGGGAAAAACTCTTGCACCACAAACACCCTTCAGCATAGGCACCCAATCAAAGGGCTGGAATCAGAGTCAGCCCTTGGATGGAGGAAGGAGCAGGGATGGAGAGGGGAGACAGGACTCCCTTCCATGGCAACACTGCCTCCCCACTCAACCCCTTCTCAATGGGACATGTGATGAGTCTTCAGAGAGGTGACAGACACCAGCAGGGACACTAGAAGCATGAGAGGGGGCAAGGGAGGAGTGCCAGAGCACGTACATATAAAGGCAGGACCCAAGAGAGAAGCGGAAGTGGGAATGTGGGAGAAGGGCACGCATTTGTGGAGAAGGGCGTGGGGGGCGTCATCTGCCTCTCCATGAGCGTGCATACAGACAGGATGGTAGCAGGAGGGCAGAAGAGAAGGGAAAAGTCAGCGAAGTGTTTTGTCGAGGCCCCAAGACAGGGCCACTGTACCTGGAGGAAACATGAGAACAGCTTGGGGTGCCGAGTGGACCGGGAGCGAGTGGGTGCGCTGGACAGAGCTGCGGCTCTGGCTGGGCATGCTGTTGCTGCCTCCGGGATTGGCAGACCACAGGTTCTGTAGGGGCAGGAGAAGTGAGTTAGGGGGCCCTGGAGAGCACTCAGGGGCTGAGTGCAAAGGGCCAGAGCACCCTATACTGCACGGTCCCCAGCATCCATTAGAGCAACTTGGGGGCACTGTGCCAGGAAGAGCCCCTAAGCACTACTGTATGTGACCCCCACAACAAACAACCAGAAGCACCACAGAATCAAAAGGTGAGTGTTCTACCATTGAGTTATATCCCACGCCCAAAGCCAACCAAATTCAAGAAGCAAGCAGAGGACAGAGGGGAGAGGCTGAGGTCCAGATGTGAACATGCAGACCAACTCCCAGCATGACTGTCCCAGCCCCATGTCCACCTGCCTCTCTACTTCTGGTCGGCTCACCTGTCGGCCCTGGCCCCCAAGGCTGGGGCTGGTGAGGGCATGTCGAGGGGAGATGCCCCCAATGCCTGAGGGGCTCAGAAGGCCTATCCTGCTGGGCGGGAGGGCCCGGGGAGGCATTGGGAACTGTCGCTGGGTCCGCCGGACTACCCCCATCCCCACAGAGCCAGCTATGGGAAGTGAGTTGGAGCCGAACGCCCAGCTGTAAGAGAACAGAAAGGGCACATCAGTTTTTGGGGTGGGGAGAAACTCCTTCCATCTCTGTCCTAACAGGCAATACAGAACAATCTGAGTGAGTTCCCTGTCTGCAGCGTCCCAGCTCAATCCATCTGCCCCCTAGATGGAGACAGAGTAGGGAACACAGAGGTTTCCCTTAGGGCTGTCAAAGCAATTCTGGAGTCTTTGCTGTCTGGGATAAGAAGGGAGTCCTCAGCCTACTGCATACCGTGGGATGGGAAGGCCCTGTAGCTGATTTTGACGTACTTAACCTCCTAGAAAGAACATCCCGATTTTCTTCTGGGAAAGTCTTCATGAGTGACTTTCTCACTGAGGACACCAGGGTTCCCAGCCCATGGAGCAGTCAGATCTCAAGCACGGTGTCCCCAGCAGGGCTGTGGTAGCCTACCCTTTCTGCTGCCGGTAGCTCTGCATCTCCAGCGCCGCCTTGCGCGGGAAGGTTCGGAGCAGCTTCAGCACCTGCTGTTTCCAGGACAGCAGCCGTTTCTTCTGGGTCTCCGTGAAAGCCTAGATTGGGGAGAGGTGGTAGCTATCAGATACTCAGCTCACGAAGGAGGTGAACTGGGCACAAGGGGCCTATAGCATGGTGGGGTGCAGACAGACATCAAACCGTAACCAATCAGCACCATGAGGTGGAAGCAAAGGGAAGCCCCTGGCACCAGACAAGGGGGTGCGGAACGGACATGTGTTTGCTGAGAGGGGAACTGTATGAAGGCCCCGAGGAGCAGCAGCAGCAATGCTCAGGGCCTCGCTGCTGTCAGCACAGTGGGAAGAGTCTGGAGGACAGGAAGGGGCTCTCGGGTCCAGAGTGGGGTAGTGGGGGGCCCATTTTCAGGGAGCTTGGAACTAAGCTCACCTCATGAGTCAGGCACTTTTCGATGAGCTGGAGGTAACTGGTGATGTTCTCCTCGTCTGGCCGGGACACCAGCAACTGGGTGCACACTGGGGGACACAGGAGATAGGAGATGAGTCCCTGCCAGACGTCTACATTCTGCAGGTATCCTGGCCTCAGTCCGAATGGCATAGGAGGAACTACCAGGCTGGCTGAGTCTGATGCTATGCCAGGCCCAGCATCTGGCACAGGGTGGACATGGTGCCTGGCTGAGAGAAGTGGAAAGCTGCCTACTGTGGACCCTTCCCATGGTGTCCTCTGTCACAACACCTTCTGCTGAGACTCCCAAGGCAGTAAGGCACCATCCAGCCTCACTATCAGACACTCTTACAGACCCTGTATGTCCCAGGGACTTCTAGAAGCCCTGTTCCCACCATCAGATCCTGCAACTCAGTTCTGATCCTTAAAGCCGAGGTGCACCTGGCTCCAGACATTCCTGTTCTGAGACTCACCTTTGCCCATCACCCGTGTAAACTGGCTGGGGATGTCCCCGTCAGCGACGGGAGCTGGGGCCGGCTCACTGCCATCTGTGGGAGCCGGAGCTGGTGGAGGGGGATAACTCTCTGCGGCTGGAGGGTCCTTGGCCTCAGTGCCCTTGTCTGCACTGGAGTGAGCCAGGGAAGGCTCAGCGCCCGGCAGCGGGGGCTCCCCCCGGCCCCCATCCTTGGCAGCAGGGCTGGCAGCAGCGGCCACAGTGGCCTGGAGCACACTGTAGGCCTTGATGGGGGTGATGATGATCTGCTGGAGCTCCTGCAGAGCGCTGCGCAGATTCCCGCCTTCCAGCACATCCTGTGGGAGGACAGGGCCAGGGTCACAGGCCAACCTCCCCAGGAGAAGGCCTGACAAATGGGGTGAGGTGAGGCTTCAGAACAGGCAGAGCCCTGGGGTCCAGCTCAAAGAAGGCAGATGACGGTACAGAATGTGTATATTTCGAGACACATGTATGTATATATGCACACAAAAATTCCTTCTTCCCTCTTCCAGGTGAGGTCTCAAAGGCATTCATGAGCCTGAGAAGACAGTGCAGTGGGCAGGGAAGGAACTTGCCTTGCAGGTGGCTGACCCAGGCTCAATCCCCAGAAACCTACAGTCCCTGGAGCCCCATCAGGAGTGACCCCTGAGTACAGAGCCAGGAGGAAGTCCTGAGCAGCTCCAGGTATGGTCCCAAAACAACAACAAATTAAGTGTTTTACTAGGACAGAACCAGAGACTCATCTCCAGACAGTGAGGGGACAAGAAAGATCAAGCATCAAGCACTGAACAAATGGAGGCAGGTAGGTGATCTAAGCAGGGAGAGAGGTGACGCACACAGAACATGCTGCTGTCCTAGCAAGGGCAGTCAGTAAGGAACCAGATGGGGTGAGAAGGAACTCAGTCCCAGAGAAGTCCTGAGATTGACCAAGACAGGCAGGGAGAGGAACTTCTGTGCCACAGGCAGCTAGCCCTGGGATGGAACCTGTTTTGGTCCCTGGGGCTGGGGAGGGCCATAAGGAGAGGCCAGCCCAGGATCGAGGAGTCATCGGGCACCAGAGGAGAAACCAGGGTCTCACCTTCTCCAGGGACTTGAGGACACTTTGTCTCTCACGCAACTTCTGGATGCTCAGGGCTATCTTGTGGCGGGCACCTTTGGTGACATTCTGAAGGGGAAGAAGGGACAAGCAGCTGAAAATAGGAGACTGAGGTACCTAGGGGCGCACCAACAAGGCCAACAAAACAGGCAGCTTGGGTTGCCAGGGCCATCTGCGCCAGCTCCCCCCAGGCTCCCTGGGCGTCACCTGAGACTCCAGGTGCTGCTCCGTCAGCGTCATCATCTCCTCATAGCTCATCTGGGAGAAGAGGGCTGCGTACTTATGTAAGCGGAGGCTTTTGAGCCACGTAGGGACATCTGCGGGGGAGAGGCATCTAGTCAGGGACGTGGGGACATGCAGGGGAGGGGATAGCCCAGGCGTCCCTCTGGGGGTGGGAAGCAGCTGCACATTCCCTTTGACCCTCAAGCCCTGCAGAAGCCTTCCTCTAGAGCAATTCCAGGCTGATTTAACCTACCACCTTTGCAGAAAGAGGTTGCTGTGTCCCCCAGAAACTTCCCTTCTGTAAGCAGACAAAGAAGTATCCCCCCACCCTCCAACTGCACCAAGACCTCCTCCTTCTACTCCCTGGGATCATTCCAGCGACTCCCAGAAGCACCGTAGAGGGTACCTTTCATGCCACTGCCATCCTCCTGGAAAGTGTTCCGGCTGGAGCCCTGCTCCTCCGTCTGCTCACTGCCAGAGGAGGCCACGCTGCTCTGGGGTGAGAGGGGTGCGTGGTCGGGCGTGGTGAAAGCAGCCCGGGCCCCAAGCTCCTCTGGACTTGGCCACTCGCCAGGGGCCTGGGGGCTTGTGGGGATAAGTGACATGGAGCGCTTCAGCGGGCTGGGGTGGATTTGGCAGGGGAGACCTGGCCAGAGGGGGAGAGAGGCAAGAGGTCAGGCGTGGGCCAATGATGATGTAAGATCAGGCATACCCCCACCCGCCCTCATTTGGTGTCCCAGAATCCAACAAGGTCAAAGAACCCTGAGATGCCAGGGGATGCGCCCACCAGATGTTTCTCATTCCCTACTCATCACCCCATCTCAAGCCTCTGGCTATGTCTCTGAACTTCTCCATTTCCTCTGTGGGGCCCTGGTTCTGGTGACCCCTTCCTCAGCCTCCTTCCATTCTTCCTCCTACAGTTACCCCACCTCACAAAAACCACACAGATCCCTCTAAAAATGGAGACGGACCCAGTCATCACCTGCTTAACCTACCTGTGGCTTCTCTTCATTTTGAGGGCAAACTTATAACTCTTGGTTGAGGATGTGGCTCTGTGGCCAAGTCTGCTTTACAGGCAGAGGAACTGGGCTTGGACCCCGACACTGCAAAATACCCTATCCCTAACCCTTCCCCGTACACCTTCAAGGCCCAGCAGGACCTGACCCTGTTCGTACTTCACCTCTCCTCTCTGACAAATGATCCTTCAGTTCAAGTCGTCACAGACTTTGTCAACGCCCGTCTCCCCAAATGGCTCACCTTAGCAGCCTGTTCTCATTTTGGTCCTTGCTTCCTTCTTCCTGATCTTAGCTAATGTTTCCTTCCTGTCTCATCTCAATCAAGTGTTGCCTCTTTTGAGGCCTTCCCAGAATCCTCCACCAGACACTGCTGCCCCTACCCCAATCCTGGCCACTCTATCTGATCAATGTTCTTGTTTTGTTTTGTGGCCTTCTGGGTCACAGCCAGCAGTGGCTTCTGGCTCTGCACTCAGGAATCACTCTTGGCAGTGCTTGGGGGACCCTATGGAGCGCTGGGACTGATTCTGGGTCTGTGTGCAAGGCAGAAGCCCTATCCAACATGCTTCTCTTCAGCACCCTGATATCGTCTTATCTTGCTCATGGCACCTATCACTACCTGACTCTCCAATCTCAGTCCCTGCTGACCTGATGCTTACTCCTGCAGCAGTAGACAGTACAGTACCACCTCAGGTCCCACACTGCTGTACCCTGAGCAATCACCGTGGGTCCATTCATACTCATTCAGTCAATGGACCAACTACATAAATTACCTCCTTACCTTCCCTGGCAACAGGCTGCAGATTCCTTCTCTAATGTGCCCAAATCAGGGTGGATCCCAGCCCTTTTCTCCAGGACGGCTGGCAGGCACCATTACACACTCCACTCCCAAGGGGTACAAATTACCCCACTTGATTTGGAACCATTCTTGGCGTACACAGGTGCCCACCAGTTCCCTGAACTTTCCATGTTCTATTCCCTGTCTGCTGGCTGCTTCAGCCTGCCTGCCTGTGCAGCATTCTCTCATGGCTCCTGCCTTACATTACCAGGATTCAATGCTGTTGCCCCCAGTTTGCTGCTCACTGACTCTCCCAGCCTGTTTTCTCCTGCACTGGACCCTGGGCAAGTCTTCACAGTCATTTCTGCCTGCCCTGGATCAGGTACAAGGCAAGAGACCCAGGAACCACCAGTTTCATTATGGTTTTTGGTACTCCCCAATTCTAATGGGGGCTGGAGCTGGGCATCTGTGTGTGTCTGAGCTTGACAAAGGGCACCCACAAACATCCCGAGTCAGAGAAGAGAAGGAACAAGGCTTTAAGTCTTCTTGGGTAGGTGAGAACATCAAGGTTCCAGGAGGGAATCCCTTTGCCCCAGTTCCCACAGGGAGCTGGGAGGAAGCCATAGCAGCTCCTAGCCTTGTCTCTGCTGGGAAGGACAGATTCCTGCCGTGCGCCACTGACCCCAACCTAGGCCAGACCCCAAGGAGCTTCACTTCATCTGCATGATCTATGCTCTTGGATGGGAGACATCTGCCAGGGAGGACCAACTTCCAACCTGCTGGTGGCATCTGGGGTCCTCAGGGACTTTTCCAAATCTCTGCATTACCAGAAAGCTCAATTGAGGCTTTAGGGAGTTGGGGGATCCTTAATAACAGTCTGTCTTGCCCCTTTTGAGCCAACAGGCAAAAGTGACTGACAAGGCAGGACATTATCTGGATTGGAGTGACGGGGCAGCTCCTGTGGAGCCCAGCGTGGCCCGGCACTGGGGTGGAGGCAACAACAGCCTGAGAACTTAAAAACAGGAATGCTGGCAGTGATCCGGGATTTCACACTCTCCAAGAAACCCTGGTCTGTCCTTGGCAGCACCCCAAACCCACCCTGCTTGCCTTTATAGGCCAATCCTTTCTCCCCACTCAAAACTATTTTAATGGTTTCCTGTTTCCTGCAACTGCTTGAAACTGAAAGGCGTCATTCTACAGTTCAAAGCCCCTCGACCGCCAAATGTGATCCTGAGACACTGCGATCTGAGAGTCAAGGCGGCTCCAAGTCAAACTGGGGCTCTGTTGCCCATTCACTGTATGATCCTGGGTGAGTTGTTCATCTACCACCCTCTCCGTTTCATGGGAAACACAAGCAGCTGTGACTGTTACTACTCATTTAGACCCTTGTACTTTTTTTTTTTGTCATACCCTGCAGTGCTCAGGGATTACTCTCAGGTGATGCTCAAAGGACCATTTCGGAGGCCGGGGATCGAACTGTGGTCAGCCACGTGCAAAGCAAGTGCCCTACCAGCTGTATTCTCCTGCCCCATCAAATGCCCTTCTGCAGCTCCCTGCCTTTACATATATACTTTATCGTCTGCCGAAGTCCAGTTCCTTTCTTGCTTCTGGTTCAAAGCCCCATATGACATATTTGTGATCGGGGACTGAAGCCAGAGCTCTCACATTCAAAGCAAGCACTCCAGCACCTAAGTCATCTTCCTGGCCCCAGATCAGTCCTTCAGGAGCTGCTGCTGCCTTTATAGGGAGCACTGAAGGTGTGGAGAGGGAAGAAACATCTGGGTGAACTATACTGCTAACTCCTATCCCTTGCAGAGGTCTTTACAGAGCACCTGCAGGAGGGTCACTTTTAGATGGTTACAAGTAGGAGCTGGGGACCCCGATATCACTGGATTTCAGTTCTGACAACTCCATTTAGGCAAGCGGCAATTTTGTAACTCCATCAACAATTTAGAGGTATAAAGTTCTCAGAACAGTTCTCAGCAGAGACTGGAATCTCAATGTATTTTAATAGAACTGCCATTAATAAATCTATCCTCCAAACTGGAAGCCGGAAAGTGTGGTGCTTTAAGACTTAAAGATATGAGGGGCTGGAGCATAGCACAGTGGGTAGGGCCTTGCACGTGGCTGACACGGGTTCAATTCCCAGCATCCCTATTGTCCCCTGAGCAACGCCAGGAGTAATTCCTGAGTGCAGAGCCAGGATAAGCCCTGTGTATCGCCAGGTGTGACCCAGAAAGAAAAAAAAAAAAAGAAAAAAAGATATGAGCTTGCAGGGTCAGGGAGAAAGTTCACAGGGCTCAATTACATGCCTGGCAGGCACTAGACCTTAGGTTCCATTCCAGAATCACATGGTCTGTAGGTTCCTCCAGCATCGCTGAGGAGGCTCCTCCGCCCAGCCCAAGTCCCTAAACAGAGGATCTCAATTGCTGTTGCCATAGTTCTTGCAATGCCCACAGCCTCTGCCTCTCTATTCTGATCCTTGCCAGTGCCAAGATGGAGGAGGTGACCAGGACAGCTATAGTACTTGGGGAAGAAACAGCTGCCCAGGACAGCTGATGCATATATACACAGTGCCAAGGCAGGCATCACAAATCCAGGACCACCCTTACCCACCCACATAAGATGCTGTTTCACCACCACCCGGAGGTTCTATCCTGGAAAACTCTTTCCTTGAGTCAGGGCATTCCACTGTAGCCAGTCCTGGGAGAGCCACTTTTTATCCAGTTCATTTCAGCCAACATTCAAGAAGTCATAAGAAAGGCTGGGAGGCAGAACAGTGGTAGAAAGCACTTTCTTCCCATGCACGTGTGCAGCCCTGAGTTCAAATCTGCACACAGAAAACAATAGGTACCAGAATACCAGCTCTTCTAGAGCATCACAGCCTCCAACGTGCTTACAAGAAAGCCCTTTTGAAACCAATTATTTGACAGGATGGTTTAGTGATCAGAGCGTCAGAATGCTGAGGTCGGCACCCTACTCAGTTCTTCCCTTGTTCCATGTGACCAGAAGGTATGACCTTGCTTTTTTAGGTATCTTCATCTGTGGCAGGAGCCCAAGAAGCATGACAACAATTAGGAGGAGGATTAACTGAAACCATGCCTGAAAAGTGCTTACAGTAGAGTCCTCAGTATGGTCAACACTGAATAATGTCAGTGACTATTACTAAGCTCTTGCAGCGGGTATTAGGCCTTCTAGGCTCAGTCAGATTTCTCAGAAGTCCATAAGCTGAGGCCAGACATAAAACTTCAGAAAAGGGAGGGGGAGGTGGTTTAAAGGACTGGAGCGTCAAGCTTGATCCCTAAGTGTTTGTTCCACCCCAAACCACTGGGATAACTCTGGAGGCCCATAGCACTTTGAATCTAATTTCTAACCCAAAAATATGAAGTTTTTTTTTGTTTTGGGGGGGGTACACACCCAGTGGTGTTCATGGTTTACTTCTGGCTCTGTGCTCAGGGAACCATATGGAATGCTGGGGACTGAACCCATGTCAGACATGTGCATAGCAAGTGCCTTACCTGCTATACTATCTTTTCAATCCTTTCACTTTTATTTTAAATGCAACAAAAAAACTTGTTGACTTTGGGATCTACCAATTATGCCTGTTAAGTGAAGGCTCTCTGCATGCCAGATCATCCCCTCAATGTGCCCCCAGAAGCTGGGGCCCATAATGCCCTGCCTGGACCTTTCCCCAGAAGCATAGCCTCCTTGTACCCACCCTCTCACCTGCATTGGCGTTGCTCCCAATACTGTTGATGGCTGGCGGCACCGAGCTAGGTGGGTGAAAGGGCACATGTCCATTTTCCCGGGGTGGCTTGTCCTGCCAGCCTGGCCCAGCCTCCCCAGGGCCCAGCTCTGCAGGACCCCCCCACTCGTCAGAGCCCTGGCGTGAGTGGTAGGTGGGCTCGGGCCGGGAGCGGAATCCACTAGCCAGTCGCTCTTCAAGGTGGCTCAGCCAGAGGGCAAGTGCATTGCGGTCCTCCAGCGTGGTGGCTGGGTGGATGAGGGCATAGGAGAGCAGCTGGCGGCTCTCCTCAATGAAGGCATTGCTCTCGATGGAGTAAGCCAGCACCTTCTGCAGCAACCTCATGTACTCCGACTTGGCTTCCGTGTTGCCTGGCTGAAGGAGGGGCAGGTGGGACAATAGGAGAGACACCACTTTCTCTTTGGACTCCTGTTGCCACTGGCTGACGATGGCTGTGGAGAGGATAACAGAAAATGTTAGGGGCCAGGCTGGGACCTCCTGGCAGCCAAAAACTGCCTACAGTCTGCTCCCTCAGCCTCCCTTTCTCCTCTTATAAACTGCTGACCTTGCCCTCCACACAAAGGTGAGCAAACATACCTTGCTTTGGGTCCTTCTTCCTGGTTCTATCCTCTTCCTCTCCCCCCCCCCCCCCTTTTTGGGACACCCAGCAATGCTCAGGGGATACTCCTGGCTCTGCACTCAAGGAATTACTCCTGCTGGTGCTCAGGGAACTATATGGGGTGCTGGGGATCAAACCTGGGTTGGCCTCGTGCAAGGCAAATGCCCTACCTCTTAAATTATTACTCGGGACCCTATCCTCCCCCTCCTCTCAAACCCAAACCTGCGGTGACTTCCCCTCAACCCAGCTTGTTGATCTGCAACCTGAGCTCTTCCTGTTGTCCCCATCCCTCATTATCTGGCTTCAAAGCCTCACTATCCCTTTTCTTCCAAGATTCTGAACTAACCAGCCTCCTTCCTGATTTGGAGAAAAACAGTGAAATATAGCAGTTAGTAAAACAGTCTCTGGGGCCTGGGGGTGGCTCAAAAGCAAAAAGCACTGCCTTGTATGAATGAGGTCTCAAATTTGATCTGGCGATTGCCGTGACGTACCTAGGACCCCTGTAGCCAACTAGAGTGTGTAGTCTTGGAGGCTGGAGCAATAGCACAGTGGGTAGAGCATTTGCCTTGCACATGGTTAACACGGGTTCAATTCCCAGCATCCCATATGGTCCCCTGAGCACTGTGAGAAGTAACCCCTGTGCATCACTGGGTATGACCCAAAAAGCAAAAAAGCAAAAAAGCAAAAAAAAAAAAGAAAAAAGTATAGTCTTTAGCATGTATGTATGTGAGCCCTGATGTGGGAGTTAAGTCGGGGAGGTAGTGCAAAGGCCTGGAGTGCACATTTTGCACTGGGGAAGCCAAAGTTAGTTCCCCAACACCACATGGTCCCCCAAGTGCCTGCCTCTGTTTGTGGCCTCAAAACAAAACTTAACAAGAACGTAATTAAGAATCTGGGTCTGCAAGCCCAAGTGTGACCCACAGCCGTCCCTGTGAGCATGCTTGTGAGCCCAGAGATCTCTGGAGAGGACCACAACCCAAATGTGTGTGAGCACAATGAACCGAATGTAACTACAGCCAGGGCGCATGTGAACACTGCCACTAAGGGTGGCTGAACCCTTGTGCTTGCAACAGCAACAAAGGGGAGAAGAGGCTGGGGTCCAAGAACCAGATGGTCTAGATCTCCCTCAAATTTATTTTGGGGGGATTGTGTTTGAGCCACACATGGCAGCGCTCAAAGAATATTCCTGCCAGTGCTGGGGGATCATATGGTGTTGGAGATCAAACTGGGCCTGGCCACATACAAGGCCAGTACATTAATCTCTACTCTCTCAGCTGCCTGGACCCACCCCCCCCCCAAGCTTTTTGGCTGGACCTTGGGCAATCAATCACCTTGAACCTGCTCAACTACTGAGCCACATCCCCAACTACTGCTATTAATTTTTGCTTTTTTGTATCACAGCCTACAGTGCTCAGGGTTTACTACTGGCTCGGTGCACAAGGATAAGGCTCAGGGGACCATATTGTCCAGGGGATCAAAGCCAGGTTTCTTGCATTCAAGGAAACTGCCTTAGCCGCTACACTAACTCTCTGCCTCCATCCTCCCTATTGCTATTTTTTGTTTGTTTGTTTTTTGTGTCACACCCGGGTGTTGCACAGGGGTTACTCCTGGCTCATGCACTCAGGAATTACTCCTGGTGGTGCTCAGGGGATCATATGGGATGCTGTGTTGGCCACGTGCAAGGCAAAACGCCCTATCCGCTGTGCTATCGCTCTAGCCCCGTTGCTAATTTTAAACCGGTCTGGTTCTCAATTCTTTCCTCCAATCTGTCCCAGTCACCCAAATGGATTTTTCTTTCCATAGAAAACCAGTATGGCATATCCTGACGAGGACTTTCAACCGCAACCAGTAAAACATAGTAGATGTAGGTTCCATAACTCCGAGACCAATGTCACTTTGATTTCTAGTGCATTCCCTACCTCCCATGCCCCAGGTAAAGATTCAGCTTAGGAAACCCCCATCTTCTCTGGGCCTCTAACTTTCAACAATCTGGCTGAGAGCCAAGGCTATAAACGGCAATGACCTCTTTTCTCCTATCTAAATCCTGCCTTTAGGAATGCCTGAACCCATTCCCCTTTGGGGACAGGTCAGTCCATGATGGGTGAGGTGATGGTAACTCTTTCCCACCCCATGGTCTGCAGACCTGGTTTCCTTTCAACAACCTCAAGAAATGAGGTCCCAAGAGTAAGGTTTCAGGTTGGCCACATAAAGGTAGCCTTGAAAAAGAGCAGGCAAAGGTCTAATTGTACTCCTTGAAAAGCTTGTTACAGTGTATGATGGGGAAAACCTGACAGGGATCAAGGGCTGAGGCCAAACCTGCCTTTACTGTTGGCTAGTTAAGCTCATGCCTGAGTCACAGCAGTGACCTGTAGACACCCACAGTGTCTTGCATGCTCACTGAGAGGAAGCTGTGTTATCTTTAAGACACTCTTGCATGCAAGAGTTAGTATAAGAGCTTAGGCAGTATCCTTGCATGCAAGAAACCTGGCTTTGATCCCCTGAACCCAATATAGTCCCCTGAGCCCTATTCTCGAGCAGAGCCAGGAGTAAACCCTGAGCACTGCAGGCTATGAAACAAAAAAGCAAAAATTAATAGCAGTAGTCTGGGGATGTGGCTCAGTAGTAGAGCAGGTTCAAGGTGATTGCCCAACACATTGTTCTCCAGGAGGAGCTGCTGCGGGACTGGTGTGGTCCTGATGGGGGAGAAAGGAGCTAGTCCTGAGCAGACAGAGCGAGTACCCCACACAGGTGGGTGTGAAAAATCACACAGCTACCTCTCACTCAGCATGTGATTCTGAGCAATTGAGACTGTATCACTCAGCTCCACTTGTACTATCTGTGAAGTGGGGCTCAGAAATCCTTCTATCTAGTGTGGCCATTATGAATTAAGAGGGACCAGAGGTCCAAATCAGTTCTCAGTAAACATAAGTTGCTATTTCTAGCACTAAGGTTATTATGTCTTACGGCAACTCCTTCCTTTCAAATACCAGAGATTCTAAAGGCATAAGCCAACACCCCACCCAGAAAACAGAGAGCCTGGGAAGGGGGATATGTTGAAGGAGAGTCTCAGAATTTCAGGCATGAAGGTTTCAAGTGAACCCCAATCTGGTCCCTCTGTATCTGATGGTGTCAACCCAATCTCTTTGGGACTAAAGATTCCAAGGTCCTCTGGTCAACCTCCAGTCACATGAGCTGTGCATGAAACCCTTCTGCACACATTTTCTCATCACCTGTTTGGAAATTTTTGCTCAACATAAACATCTACTTCTGCAAGTTTGGTGGCTCTAAGATATAGACTGCATCCAACTTACAACTCTTGCTCACAGAGCCCACATACACTTGGCCCAGGGTCTCCCAGAAAAACTGTTTTAGGGGTCCGCAACTTGTGGGCCAGCAGTAGGGAGTCTGCCTTCCATGAGTGAGCCCTGGATTCCAACACGGCATGTGCACACACATGCATAGTGAAAAAGAAAAACAAAATACTATTTAAGTATTCAGCAATGTATCCACTTACTCAGTTACCTGAAATTTATGACCTGCCCACAGTACTGGCCAAAACGAACACTACTGTACATTGACAGTAATGGTACTGGTCATACTAGCTGGGTTACCATTTCCTGAGCATTTGCCATGTGCCAGCAACCTTGCTAAAAACACAGTCATTTTTCATCCTCATCTCAAACTTGGAGATCCCAGTCTTGAAGAGGAAGAAAAGATTTGGGAAGATGAAGTCACTTTACCAGAGTGAAAGAGACAAGCTCCTGGATATGCCTGCCTCCGAAGTCATGAGAAATGAACTCTCAATCCTCTACTACCTCTCCTTTCTTGCCCTGGATTTCAAGATCCCCTTTGGGAATTGCACCGAGGTCAGGCCACCTCCCTCTTCCAGCTGTTTTCCCTCCACACAGCTCTCAAGGACCAGGGAGCTGTTTCTTTGGTCACTTCTGATCCAAGACCTTTCCCAGATGGGCGAGGCCTTCCTGACTGCAGGAAATTCACCTCTCCCACTCCATCAGGCACTGAATCCCAGGGAAAAGAATTCCCTGGTTCCCAGACTCCGTCCCAGATGTGACCATGCTTGGACTCTGCTTCCTGCACCATCAAACGGATTACGGGCTGCTGGGGAGATTTGGGGGAGACAATGCACACAAAGCACCTGACAGAGGCAATCTGGAGCAATTCCTTAGTGGCTTATGACTCAGTGGTTACTAGTTTTCTTCTTCCTCCTGAGGCAGAGTCAGCCTAGACCTTCAGTCAGACCCCAATATTCTCAGTCACTGCTGTTTGGGCCACGCAGGGTAACCAGAGGCATCTGGGACAGAGAGAAGCCTTGTCTAGTCCCTCCCCCACCTCAGAGTACTGCCAGGACCCCACGGCCAAGGGACACAGCTTCTCCTCTGGTACTGCCAGGGGATGCGACAGAACAGCCCCAAGGGTTGGACTCAATGAAGGACCTTGTTATAGAGCAGAGAAAGGGGAGACTGATTTTGGCCCACTGGAGGCTGCACTCGGGGAAGCATGTATTTGTGTGTCTGAGAGACAACTGGGGTGGGGAGGATGGGCCTCCCATGACTGGGAAGCATCAGCAAGCACTGGAACTGCTCCAAGGAATTCGTGGAGCCTCCGGCTCCTTGGGGTGAGCCCAGCTGGGGCTGCAGATGACGGGTGGGGATGGAACTTGAGTTTCCTGCCCAAATCAGAAAAGTCTGGCGCAGAGCTAAGACACAGCGGGGGCCCACTGAATACCTGCACAATTGAACCCAGATGCTGCTCTGGAAGGTGGCAGTGTCTGAGGGTGGGGGTGGGGGTGACACAGTACACCCTCTCCATGAT